AAGGTGTTTTGCTCAAGTTCCGAGTTGGATTGATTTGTGTGCTTTTTGAGGCAGCCGCAAGTCATTTCAATTCGGGGCTTTTCGCAGGCATTCCTCCAGCTTCGTACTTTGTACGGTCTCTTTCCTACGGTGGTCATTCGAAGTATTAATGAGCACCGGAATCTGGAATTCTTCTTCTCTCTTTCTTTCGTAACCTTTCTATACGGTCAGCTGGGTACTGTAGAGTTCAGAATTTTACTCGAAAAATACGATACACGGAAGAAGTCCGCACGGCCTTGGCATACAGTATTCCATCCAAGACATCGAGATCGAGCACCTACCGGAAACGATAAAGACGACTTACTGTAGTTTATCCACACTAGTTAATTGGATCGATACGTTCGCTGACGAATTCATTCAATTGATGTTACACTCCAAAGTCTCAAAGAACAAGAACTATGTCATGCTCGAGCGCACCTCGAAATATAGAAGGCAAGAAACAAATTAAGGAGGATTTGTGGACAACCTTTGAAGTCACACAATGATGATTTTTTTTTGTAGCAGCGTTCGATAAACGAAACACTATTGAAATTATTGTATAATTATACATTTATTACAGCATCAGCAATCCAAATATTTTGCTGCAATTAACAATTCAAGAGCGACTTCAGGTTCGATAGCAAAATCTGGGATGCGTGCCGACGAATTGCTGTATTGTGCCTTGTAGTGGAGATATCTAACAACTCGCTCAAGAATGTAGCCATCAATCGCAGGAAACTGGATTACATTATCTCGAGCTTCTCGGAACTCTCCTTCAAGCATTTTGCAAATTGTGGAGGAAGATGCCTTGCGAACAGTTAGACTTGAAGTTATAGAAAGCAACCTGCACTGAAACCAATCGTTGCATATCTTACCATTGCGATTTCTTTGTCCAAAAGGAACTCCTGACCTTCAGCACTGACCAACTTCACATATTTCCCTTCGTCATTGTCTTCTTTCATGGTGCATGTAATTTTATGTGTTTACCCTTGGATTGTTGTGACACGGACTGACCATTTACTCCAATTTTAAGAAAACATTTGAATAATAAAATTCTAAAATTTTCTATTGTTATTCTTTTTTTAAATTTTTTTATAAAAGATAAAACATCTTTTGGGGAACTACAGTACTGACATGAAAAAGCCTCCTGCTGGAACAAAATCAGAAAATAATTGGGTCCTGTGATGATAACACCTATTAGTGTTCATCAATTTAACAAGACAGAGCTTCTTGGTGCTCCTTGAGTTTCTTTTCATACCACGGCCGTCGTAGTTTCCGAAGTGCTTTGCATTCTTGAGATCTAACCCAAGCTTTCGTTTGTTTCATTTGTGCTGCTACCGCTGTTACTGTTCGGGTCAATCCATCAGCGAGTCCATACCTATAGCGAATGACATTCCGCTCGTCTTCTTCCAGAATATCAAGCATTTCATGAAGATCATCGTGGAACAGACCGTTGTCAACACGCCGTTCAGGGTTCGAATCATCTTCATGCAGTTGTCCACCAGAGATTGTGTCGCATATCAAATCGTCACTCTCGTGACCAAGATCCTTTGGGTTGCTTTTATATTTTGGGAGCTCAAGCGATATGGATCTCCTTGTAAGATGAATCATTTTGTTGTATTTTTCTAAAGGCATTTCAAGTGACTCAGCCATTTCTTCGTTCGTTGGTTGACGTCCCAAGTCCCGCTCCAACTCGCTTCTGAGTTTCCTTACTCGATTCAGGAGATTGTGAACATGCACTGGAAGGCGAATGGTTCTTGAATGATACGCAATAGCACGGAAGATTGCCTGTTGTATCCACCTGTTCACAAGAGAAAAGTTGTGGGCGACTGTTTTTGTAGGTGGATTAAAGATCTGCAGACGTCCATTCGTTACTTACCACGAAGCATACGTCGAGAATTTGAATCCTTTTGAAGGGTCGAACTTTTCTGCTGCACGCGAAAGTCCAAGACTTCCCTCCTGAACCAGATCTTGCAAACCAACACCGACATTCGAATATTTTTTTGCAATGCTGACGACAAGCCTCATATTCGACTGCACCATCAATTGCTTGGCTTCTTTTGCATCGAGCATCATGTTCACGAAGTCGGAAGTCGATCCTTTGTTAAGCGGGACCTTACGTTGATCCCGTTCGCCTTCTTTCGTGTCATAAATGCTATCTAGTACGACAGGGGGTGGTTTCTTCACTCGTCCTCGCCCTCTTCCAGGACCAGCGTCATTTGCAAGGCCGTTTCCAACAAACATATTTGGGTCGACGACATCAAAGATACTTTCACTGCCGGCGGGTCTTATATGATCTATAATATCAATCTGGAGTACTTTCGTGGAGTCTTCTCCCAAATACCTTGTCAAAAAAGGTTAGTGACAACTTTTACAAATAGTTGAACAGTCTTCGTCAAATTTTCTTACCCGCAAGCCTTGGCCCATTCCTCAAGTGTGGGAAGTCTCAAAAACTTGAGCGCCAATCCTTCATGCACTTGCTCACATTTCGTCATCAATTGAACCTTGACACCAAGATCGTATTCTTCGTCGGCCGATAAGAGTTCGGTTTGATAATACTTCTGGAGCTCAAGATTGTTCAACTTCGTCCTTCCTCTTCCAAGATTCCGTCGTCGATGGACTACCTTTGGCTCCTCCTTTCTCTTCGGAAGATTTTTGACTACTCGTTTCCGTTTCGGAGTCTTTGATTTTGAGTCTTTGCTCTCTGGGAGATCCTTGCTTGCATAGCTTGAGCTCGTTCCTTTAACTATGCTTCTTTTCGTTGCAGCTGTTTTCTCCACTGCCTCCCGAAGCTGAAAATTCGATGAACTGCGGCCCGACTGGTTTGCTTGTTCATTCTTCTCTCGAAGCTTTAGAATAGTTTCATACTTCATTGCCCCAGCAACTGACTCGGGACGCCCATGGGGGGTTTTACGCTTCTGGGAAACGTTGCTCCCAGGGAAAAGAAACTGATCAGACAGCATTTCCAACACCTGCGCGTCCACTCCTTCGAGCGCAGTATCCACATTGTTTTTTTCCATAGCCTTCATGGCCTCGCTTCTCTTTTCCTGTGAAATGGATGCCTTTGGTTTCAAGGCCAGGACAGCTTCTGCTTCTGAATATCTTGCAGCACAAAGCCGTGGTGGAGATATAGAGCGGGAGATAGTAGATGGGATGAACCCATTGGCTGGTAGTGACATTGCGTTGAGAGATGCGATCAGAAAAGCAATCAAGGTGGGGGAATGAATTGTTCTCGTAGCGCTGGAACGAAGCCGTTTTCTTCGAAGTCCTTTTCGCTTGCAGTGTACATCTTTGTCGACAAGCGGGCGAGTCTGATTAGGTTTGGGCATATTTGCTAATATCCAAGAATACTTCAGTTTAGAGCCGTGTTACTGCAACGACAATTTTGAAATGGCTTTCGCTTGTGAAGCTTCGAAATCCTTGGCGATGATTCCCAGCTCTAACCTCAACTTACTGGCAGCAGACAGAACAGAGAAGTCGAAGTGTTTCCACAACGTCATCAAATCAAACCACTTCGTTGCGGGCGATGGACGGACGTTGGATCTGTCAATACCACTTGTGCGGACCCGTGATACGAGTACCGCCGTACCAACAAGGATACTAGCTAGAGTGGTACCACTACCGTACTGTAGTCTGTGGTTCGGAGGGACTTCATCAGAATACAGAGCTTTGAAAAAGCAAAAATAGTTTGTATGTCGTGGACAAAGGCAAACCAACGATACAAATAGAGCAACTAAGCGTGCTCAAGGCAACAGGAAATAGTAGTGAGAACGATCATCCTTCAGTAGGAGGCAAACAACAGCGATGTCAAATAGAAGAATGGGAATGAAGAGACCAGGGATAGTACCTCAGAGACTTGCGAAATGATTTTCAAAGATCCCAATTGCATTTGTTGCAAGGATCGCGTTGCTAACCCGATACAAATAATTCTGCTATAAACTTGTGTAGTACACCTCCCTCAAAGTCTAATGCAGCTGCTGTGGAGAAATGCAATTTGCTACAGAGAGCATACACTAAGAAGCTCCTCCAGTGATGCAACACGACCTGACTACAGGTAAGCAACGCTGAACCTCTTAAGTTCCAGGTTTGAAATCATCTCCAACCTCCTCGTCAGTTCGGTACAAGAGCAATCTCATCCATAGGCAGCAAGTCGTTGCAAAACACAGTCGATCTGAGATACCATTTTTATTTTATGCGATCAGCAAGCAAGCTCCACCAGCTGCCTTGATTTTCTTCTCGGCAAGCTTCGAGAAGTACTTCGCCTTGACAATGACAGGTACGTCAATTTGACCATTTCCCAGAAGCTTGAAATATCCCAGCTTCACCAGATCAACTACTGGTGCCTTACCAGCTCCATTCTTTGCAGCTTCGTATACACCTGGGCCAGCAGCATTGAATATCTTATCAACATTGATGGTGGGGCAAAAGCTTCGGTTTCGCAATACGTGGAATTGACGCATACCAACCTTTCCGAAGTAACCAGGGTGATACTTATCGAAGAGGATACGGTGGTGATGCTGACCACCCGCATTACCACGACCACCAGGATGCTTGCGATGTTTACCAATTCTTCCGTGACCACACGAGACGTGTCCTCGCTTTTTTCGTGCTTTGTGTGCTCGGGTTGGCATAGTTACTGTAGAAAGCTGTTTTGCAACGAAGTTTGTTAGACGTTGTAGTGAATTGAATACCAACGAATCTTATGCCTTATCAAATGACAATCCTCAACGATCAGTTGCCCATGACCTTACCTCTTGAGATTTCCTTGAGTTTGGAAGCGAGATTCGAACGAAGCCAATTTCAGTTTTTAGTAGGTGGTAATGGGCGAAAGTACAAAATTAGTTTCTCCATCCATGCTTTTTACATTTCGGACGACTACCCTGGTACACGTACCAGTGCAGTGCTCTACCAGTTCGTGTACCGTTGCATTGGTACAAGAGTCGTCCTTCCAAGGGGTCTTGCGCAATGGACGTGCAATAGATGACAGAATTAGTGTTTTTTGAAAATATTTAGTCGCACAGAAATGCGCGTTTCTTTCATTCGGCCCACGAGCCATACAGTAGCTTAGCCCTTGCCCATCACATCAACAAGGCAAAGATTCGCTGCACTACATTTGCAAGAATGAACTCCTCCTTATTATTTTCGAGGAAGATTTTCCAATCGCGAAAAGTGAGTCACTGCAAATTATTCTCGAGGATGAAGTGATTTTTTGAACGGATACTATCTGCCGTTTGTCACAGTATGATGATTCACATTTGTCTCCCATTTAGCTCGCGATTACAACGAAGAAGGCATTTTCTTCTTCTGCGTCCACCGATTTCTTCCAATCTGTGAGAGAATGCGATGGGTCAGGAAAAGGTGGGGAGGCTTTCACCGCGGCAGCTCTCGTGTCTGCAGGATTGTTTCTTGGAGCTGGTCGCTATACCTCTTGTGAACAGAAGAGGATTGTGGCAGATTCCGACTTGTATCCCGGTCAAGCTGGAGTAAAGCGAGGACCAGCACCAAAAGACCCAATGACTGTTTACGCAAAAATGGCAATTCAGAGGGAATCTGAGGGAAGCAAAGGATTTCAAACTCCTACCGCTCAAGCCACAAGCCCGTCTACTAATACGACCGTTGAGAAGGTATCAAGCAAGTACATTCACGAGTTGACTGCAGATGAGCTGCGTATTGAAGAGGCAACACGAAAAGCAAAGCAGCATTCTGGTGGATTGAAACTTTTTAGCGGAAATGGGAACATGGCACTCTCTCTTGAGATTGCTCGCCAGTTGGGTATCAATCTTGGTCGTGCAACTGTAGGAAAATTTGCAGATGGGGAAGCAAATGTTGTGATTCACGAAAATGTTCGTGGAAAAGATGTATACATCGTCCAGCCAACTTGTCCACCTGTAAATGACAACATCATGGAATTACTACTCATGGTATCTACGCTAAGAAGGGCAAGCGCTCGCAGGATCACAGTAGTGATCCCATACTATGGATATGCCAGACAAGACAGAAAGATGCAGGTACGACAACCCATCCATTTTTTCTTCTTGCCAGTTTTATGTGTGGAAGGCTAATGTTGTAATACTCGAATCAGGCCCGCGTACCAATTTCTGCTGCAGATGTTGCCAGACTAATGGAAGCCATGGGCATTGACCGCGTAATTGCTGTCGATTTGCACTGCGGGCAAATCCAGGGGTTCTTTGGACCTAGAGTACCTGTTGATAACCTAGACGGCGGAATTGTGGGATTGGATTATTTTGGATCGAAGGATCTCTACAATCCAGTTGTTGTGAGTCCAGATGCTGGCGGCGTCTACCGTGCAAAGAAGTTCAAAGAGGGTCTTGCACAAAAGTATGATATGCAAGACATTGGCCTTGCCATGATTGTCAAGCAGCGTGCTCGTGCGGGATCTGTTGATCAGATGGATCTTGTTGGAGACGTGAAGGGTTGCGACTGCATTCTTGTAGACGACATGATTGATACCGCAGGCACTTTGTGCAAAGCAGCGGATGTTCTGGTTGCTAACGGAGCCAGAAGGGTTTTCGCTTTTGCTAGCCATGGTCTGTTGAGTGGTCCCGGAAACGACAGAATTGCGAACTCCAAGATGGAAGAGGTTGTGATTTTAAACACGATCCCAACATCACCGCAACGTGATGCAAACGAGAAGCTAACAGAGTTGAGTGTTGCGCCGCTCCTCGCTCAAGCTATTTTCAATATCCATGCAAAGAAGAGTATCTCGGCCCTCTTTAAGTAATTTGGGGGCTCTCAGGCTTTGGGAAAATAGTCTTCAGTTGGACTGTTCTCGAGATCGACGGGTTTCCGAAACTGTAGCAGTAACAGCGGCAAAGTAGCAGCAGTCTTTTTCATAGGGTTGACAGACAACCGAAGATAATGACTGCGATGCTGTGTTCGAGCTTTAGGAACTCAGATAGTCGTAATGTGCAATTAAAATCCGTCGCTTGATTGTCATTTTCAATTTCAACCAGAAAGGAATCTCCAAGATGATGATCTGGAAACGCCCTCATCTCTCGTTACTTTGCTGCTCTTTCGTTACCGCATTCCAACCAGAAGGCTTCCTTTGTCGACCCAAAACAGAGTTGAGTGCAATGGAAACAACCTTGAACAGACGAACGGCCATGAAATCTGTGGTCGCTGGCTCACTTTCCCTCCTACTCTATGGCAAACCTGCATCGGCAGACACAGCGAAGACCATTATCATCACTGGAGCAAATTCAGGCATCGGTTTCGAAGCCGCAAAGAAACTTGCGGCAGATGGTCACATAATTGTTCTTGCCTGCCGAAGTTTGGAGAAAGCAACTGATGCTGTGGAGAGAATCAAAGCTACAACTATTGCAAGCAACTCATTGATTCCAGCCGAATGTGATTTGGCTTCGCTTAAATCCATCCGAAAGTTCGCAAGTGAGATTGGAAATATGAGCATTGATGTGCTGTGTCTTAATGCCGGACTTTCAATGAACACGGATGACAAGGAAATTAATAGGACGGAAGACGGCTTTGAATTGACTGTTGGAATCAATCATCTTGGACATTTCTATCTGAATAATCTACTGCTTCCAAAAATTAACAAGCAGAGTGGTCGCATCGTTGTCACAGCATCAGGTGGTAAGTTTCGTCACAAATTCCGAGCTCGAGAAGAAACTACTGACAACCTGATTGATCCTAGTTCATGATCCAGAGTCACCAGGTGGAGGGGTAGGGCGGACTGCATCGTTAGGAGCACTTCGTGGTTTTGAAGAAGACGGATCGATGTTTGAAATGGTTGACGGGGCAGCATACAATGCCGATAAAGCTTACAAGGATTCGAAACTATGTAATGTTATGTTCACTAAAGAGCTGCAGATACGGTTAATAGCCGATGACTCTACCAAATGTATCAAAGCCAATTCCTTTTCTCCCGGCTTGATAACTTCGACAAATTTCTTCCGCTATCAAAATCCTTTATTTGCAAAAGCGTTTGGTGTGGTTGCGACAAACATCGCGAGGGTAGCAGAAACTCCAGAATGGGTACGTTTCTTGTTATTTTTGGTCGAGCTTTTCTTTTTATATCTGACGGTAAATTGGCGTCTATAGGGTGGCTTGAGCTTGGCATACATGGCAACGTCTCCAGATACGAATACACAAGGACAGTACTACATCAGCCCCCCTGGAAGTTCTAAGTACGGCGAAGCAGCGTTTGGAAAAGAGTTCTGTGTTGGTCCAGTCAGTAAAGAGGCCCAGGACGATGCCAAAGCAAAAAAGTTATGGGAATTGAGTGCAAAACTTGTTGGCCTATCTACATAGATTTAGAATGCAGTATCAGTTCAAGCTTCTCCGTATTTGTGTCTCTTGGTTGTGCCGACTTGCAAACGATTCCCTTATGTCTCTCTCTAGTTGAGTGTAATTCACTGATGGCAAATCTTGACTTTGCAAAAAAATAACGCTTGTGTCGTAATTGCTCTCTTTGTAGCGTGTTGGCCTGAGATGTGCAGCACCCTCAATATAACCGTGTGTTCTTGATTTCAGCACAATATGTTTTTTGCAGAACGGACTTGTCACCATCTGCTGGAAAGAATCATTTGCAAAGTGCTTTATACCGACAGTCGTATCACCATTTGATGTTGGAACGACAACAACAAACGTCAATTTCCTTCTCTCTTTCTTTGCCACCCTCAATTCCCCTAGAATCTTGATAGACATCTGCATCATTAACCCCGGTGAAAAAGGTGGGTTCAGTTCACAGCAAGTATCATGTGTAAACCGAGACTCCATAAAGCTACCCATCGATCCAAAATGCCATTCAATTTCAGGGAAAGCGGAACAAAACGAAGGGAGACAATGATTTAATGGACTTGCAAAGCCCTCCATCAGAAATGAGCCTGTAAAGTGCTTTTGCAGAACGGAAAACACCTCAGAGTGGATAGCACCTTGCATTCCGCCTCCCCGGAGATCATCGTTAAGATAACCGCCAGATAAAGCGTTGTACCGAATCAATAAAGAAATGACAATAACGTTAAATACTCTCATCAGCCGTTCATCTTGGTTGTCCAGTTTTGTTGTGGCCGTGTTGTGCACGGCAAAAAATCTATCCCGAAGCTTCTCGTAGTGCTCGGTATTTACTCTATAGCAAAATGGCTTCTTCCATTTCTTCTTTCCATACAATATCGTGGTTACCTCTGGGCTGTTCTTCTCAACCGTTATGACACCTCTCTTGAGTGATGATTCTCGACGGTACAGCTCGCTGCGTGCCAAAAGTTGAGAGCACTTGACATTGGTTTGCCTGCACAGTTCTGATACTATGCTTTCCGCTTTTTTCTCATCTTTAATGTTCGCACGAAGCTCTTGAATGAGCCTCTGTGATGCTCCGAACTTAACACTGACTTGGTTAGGAATGATCGGATCTGTTGTTGAAGATCGGATTGTTTCATCCATATTCTGCTCCAACCTTGAATCGATGAACCATCTTTCAAACGCAGGCATTCGAAGATCCTCTCCTGCTCGCAACAAGAATGACGAAAGCTCTCTGACAATGAAGCTGCGAGCCAGCTCTAATTCCAGATTTTCAAACAACGAATTTTGATAATTGCCTCCTTTAAGATACAACAACAAAGATTGATTCCAGGATTCAACTCGCTCTATTGAAGAAATCCATCCAATAGTATTTGCTTTCTTCGCTACAGGTTGTTGGCTTGGGGCCATCACACCCCAACCCTCTAGGCAGCTCTCCAAACTATCTGGTTCATCACCAAATCCTGTGAGATTTGACAACAGCTTCAAGCTGGCGACAGCTTTGTCTTTTCTATCTTTTTTTCTTTTCTTTACTTTTGGCATATCAAATATCGTTTGTAGGAAATTGAAATCCAACGGCGATATGTACGGTACCTGGTACCGTGATAGTTCAGTATCGGAGTTTACTCCGCTGGCTCCAGGGAGTTGGAAGGAGTTTGCATCTGATGCGTGTGTCGCAACTTGTTATTTATTCCGAATCAAACCGTGCATGCCAAAGGAAACAACACCGAACAGAGCGGAGGTTTCCAAACGAAACCAAACGACACGAAACCACACGTTGAACGTCTCGTGTTGTTTCGGGGAGTTGCAGGGAGTTTGCATCTGACGCGTGTGAAGCGTCGCAACTTGTTATTTATTCCAAATCAAACCGCTGCGGATTATACATACCGCAGCATTGAACACTAATATTGTACTCATCAAAACAGCTTGGATTCAGGCTTACTTTCTATATATTATATAGACCTGAATAGTCACGTGCGGTATTTGATATAAAGTTCAATTTAAAATTGTTCTCGTCATTTGGTCATTTGTTGTGATCCATCATTGTTTTTCCGATCTGCCAATGAGCGTCATTATGGCATGATGCACACTATGAGAATGAATAGATGATGCGTTATTCTAATCCGATGGATGTAGTGGTGGTGATGATCTAGGATTCTCCGGAGACTGCACTTCGCAAGACCACGGGAAATACCATGGATGGTGTCCCTTCCGATGAGATCCAATCATCCAGTCCACCGAAACGATGGATCGGGTCGCCCTCTGCGAACACTTCTCGAAACAGAACCTTTGGATTCAACAAGGATAGCAGAGAACTCTCTTCCGCTTCATCCGTGTTATTGGGTTACGACGGTGACATCAAGACATTTAGTTACGACTGTGAATTCAAAACACAAATTTATCAAGACAAATTTACTTGACGAATAGATGAAGGAAACTGAATAAGCTCTAGTCTAGACCATTGATTACTATTATCTTTCCCCTCTCCTTTTTCTTACTGCTATCATTGAATTAGCGACTGCGAATATCCTCATGCATGTTTTTCATATACAGGGTAACTGCAGTACGTTTCCCTCTAAAAATCGCTGGACTTGTGTTTTCACGATGTTTGACTTGTCACAAGCTGGAGAAGACACGCCGAGCATTTTCTGATTGGCAGGCTTTCCGATCTTGTTTGAAATAGGCAAGGCTGGCTCCATATTTGGTGAGATTTGGTGGGAACTTTATTAGTGTTCAATGCTGCATCCGGAGGGCCAAAAGAAACAACACCGAACAGAGCGGAGGTTTCCAAACGAAACCAGACGACACGAAACCACGCACGTCTCGTGTGTTTCGAAATAAAACCAAACAAAACGAAACCGCGGGCGTTGCGAAATTGAGCCGGCGTAACGTGACTGACTGGACTGCCGAGTCCCGAGCAGATGTATTAGAGCGATCGAAGGCCAACGGTCATCACCGAATATTCACCCCAAGATCAATCTTTCATCATCTACTCACAGCTGCTTCAGACCCCCGTAAATACACCCCAATAGCAATATCAATCACCGTCTATCATGTCCAACAGTAGCTACATCAACGCACTAGTACGCTCTCTCTACGAGGAGAGCCAGGAGCACAACGTTAGCACGTTAAGTGGAACGTTAGCACGTTAAGTGGAAGCCAGCCCGAGATTCGAAGCCCAAACGTATTCGATTCGCAGTCAGAGCCACCAAGTTTGTTCACACGATCATCTAACACATGGGGAGGACAGTTCAACCCTGACCATTTCCAGCGCAACGCGTTCGCTATGATGTCAGCAAGTCCTGTCAATATGGAGAATGCAGCGTTCGCCGCGATGACTGCCGCGTCGCATCACAAATATGAAAAAAACAAAAAACGAAGCGATCGTGTCAACGAGAAATCGTATTGGGTCAATGGAAGCCACGTGGACGAGACCATCACCTACAACCAGTATACCATCGATACTGCCGTGTTGGCTCCAACTACTGAGTCTCCGGAAATCAAGCAAGCGATCCTACAACAGTCTGTGAACTCCATCAAGCAGACAAAGACAACAATGGAACACAAGGTGGATTTCTTGATGAAGCGCTACACATCAGTATGCCCGGACGTTCGCTCGCGAGTCAACGCCGCCACCAGCGAATTGTTCGACGTGACTAGTGACGTGTACGAATTCGCAAGCCTACACGTCATCGACAACACAGGACAAGCGATCGCTACAGGACCGGGACCAGGACTTCCAGCCCCATTTAGAGCCGCCGCCACATACTTCAGAATCGAGCTCCGATTGGTCCCACGGCTCTGTTCCCTACGAACTGACATTGGAATCAACCCAACAAAGTTCCCGCCATCTTCCGTGAGCCCGGAGAATGCACAAAAGAAGAGGAAGCAGAACAAGTGAAAGCACAATGGGAGCCGCAGGACAACAAAACGCTGGACGAACTCAAGCAAGCGATTGTCACAGGACCAATATTGAAGAGACCCAATCCAAAGAGACGATTCTACTTGAAAACGGACTGGTCAAGCAACGCCATGGGAGCGGTCCTCCTACAAGCGGACACGACAGAAGAAGCAGAGGAATCAATGAGGAAAGAGATCGAAGGAGGAAAATGCGAGTTCGACAAATCCATGTCAAAACTCAGACTCAGACCCATAGCATTCATATCGAGAATATGCAAGGGCAAAGAGCGCGACTACCATCCCTTTGTAGGAGAAGCAGCAACAGGCCGATGGGCGATGAAGAAGTTCCGACAATGGCTCATCGGAAAGGAATTCACGTGGATCACGGACTGCAGCGGACTAACCAAGTTCTTTGAAGGCGAATACGACATCACACACACACTGCAACGATGGAAACTAGAGCTATTGGCATTCGTCTTCACCATAGTTCACCAACCAGCAAAGATGCTCACGGAATGCGACCTCTTGTCAAGATACGAGGGCATACTAAGCACGTGGAGGAATACGGAAGAAGCCCACACAGACAACCCGATCATTGCGGCGGCATGGAAACTCAGAGAAGACGAAGCACCGCCATGGCCCAGACAGCATCTACTACCCACTGTGAAAGGCGACCGGATTACAACACGAACAGAACTAGCGCAAATATGCGACACAGCAAGAGCAACATGGATCATCGGACGATCCCTAGACACCATTGTGGACAGCTTCGAACTACTTGGAGGAACCATCATGCTAACAGCCAGCACCAGCGAGGAGGAATATTGGCAGCTACAACACGACATACCAAACATTGAAACGTTTGCCAAAAGGCTGGTCAACAACACAGCACAACTGCCAGTAGAATGGTTCATTGTAACCAACATGGAAAAATACAACTCAACAACCTCGGAGGCCCTTCGCACCATCATCAGAAAAGCAACGACACAGGGAGCAACACAATGCATACTCATGTGGACAGGAAAGCCACCCGGCAAGATCATCGACGAATGGGAACAATACATCAAAAGAGAAACCAGAGACAGAACCGACCTACAAACCGCGACACGCACAGCCAGAGGCAGCACAGCACAAGCAGACATAGACACCGAACACACCATCATACTCACAGCCGGGAGAAGAGTGACGGAGGCATGGAGCAGAAGTTTAGTCGATGAAGATCCATACGCACAGCCAGGAACAATCGAAAACGCTATGGACGCACCAAACAAAAGCTACACGGGATATTTCAACGTGGCAAGGCTAGGACAAAACAGAGTCCACACGGTCAACTCACAAGGACACACACAAGAACATGAGATCTACGATACCACCAAAATCTCCCCCAGCTTCCACACAACACCCATGATCTCAGCGCAAGGCACGATAGCAATCGCAACCAACGACGCAGAGGTAACATCACCGGTCCAAACGATCAGACCGTGGGAAGCCCTCAGCCTGTTTGGTTTCACAAAAGAGGACAGCAGAAAACTGTTGTTTGAGGAGAAACTCAGTTGGAGAGAGACAAAAGAGACGATGAAGAGCATGGCACCGCAACAGGTGTGGCAGCAAGTGTTACTTACAGCATGTGCAAAAACATCCAGCGACAACACCTATCGGACAAAGCAGAACACAAATTCTTGACAATGTACGCAAGACCAAAACATGCTAAGAAACACCTAACTGCGATAGTCAGCAGATCCATCAACCCATTCACACCGCTACCGATCCCAACAGGAGAAGACTGGCGAGGGAAATGCAACGGAGACCCAGACATCAGCCACATCATCAAGGCAATCCGCAACAACAAAAAGGCAGACAGATCAAAGCTCACAAACCCAACGTATGCCTCAGAACTCAACCGAGATAAGCTAGAGATTGAAAACGGCATCCTATACCAATTCGAAGAACCGAAGTCGGCACCAATGCGTCAACTACGACGAGCAGTCGTCCCACCAAGATTGAGAGCCACAATCATAGCAGCATACCACGCATCACCAATGGCAGGACACGTAGGGTTCCACAAGACGTATTCCAGGATAGCCGCAAGGTTTTGGTGGTATCGTAGATCTCATGTTCTTGTGTGTGTCCTTGTGAGTTGACCGTGTGGACTCTGTTTTGTCCTAGCCTTGCCACGTTGAAATATCCCGTGTAGCTTTCGTTTGGTGCGTCCATAGCGTTATTGTTCCTGGCTGTGCGTATGGATCTTCATCGACTAAACTTCTGGGGGTTGCTATATCTGGTCCTTCGTCTTTGGGGCTTCGTGTTCCTGCTACTCTGCCAGTCATGACTTGTACTGCATGCTGCGACATGGAGTAGTTTGTCAATGGCGGCTTTTTGTTGGGTCAACTTGTACTATGGTCTGCTGCAACAGATCGTCGTAACTTTTGGGTCTGGGGTTTGGGTCCACTTGTTCGGGGCTCTGTGGAAGTGTGGGCCGTGACCGCTTCGACGAGATTCACCAACAGGTTTGTCCTCTCTCCCGATTCTGTCTGTGGATCCTCGATGGCATAGCACGTTAAGCCGGAAGTTGGGCCAGTAATGTGTCATCGTTCCCTTTACATCGATAATCACACCTGGCAGTATTATTGCACTTGTACTTCATGGAACAAGCCCAACTTGTAACCCCAAAAATATCAATAATTGGGGTTGCAAATCCGCTGGTCTTGTAGTCATACTTCTGATGAATATGCTCTCCTTTCCTGCACTCTGGGCAGATTAGTTGAATGCTTGGAAGATTGAGCTCCCACCAGACCAAGTAAATTGTCACGCCCTCAAGTTGACTGTAGTTGCAGATCTTGCGAAGGTAAAGCCCAGACTGCCAGGAGGAAACTGACGTTGGTAATTCTGGTGCTCCCAATAGCTTTTTCCTCTTTTATCTTTTATCTTGAGTACATTATCTTCAGTGCCACATGTGATGCTTTTGTGGGTTTCCAGGAGGGCATTGATGGCAGCACCAATCGCCTTTGGAATGTTGGGATATGACGAAATATGAGTTTTTACGTTCCAAAAGAAACTATTCAAGTACAAGGTTTTCAATACGTGCGATCGGACTTTGATCATGATGTCGGGATTCGACGCAAGTCTGCCGGACGCAAGTCTGTCGGACAATCTGTATCCCCACAAAAAGGAAAAGACCCTATACAAGTGAAATATCGATGTTGTGTACGATGCAGTAGGGAATAATGCAAGATGTCCCAAAGTACTGCATTCAACACAGAATTGTCGTAGAAGTCGAATCGAGTTCTGTAAAAAAGGGATTTTCCAAGGGAAAATCGTTGAGCTCACTTTTGTGATTGAATCATCAATTCAAGCCAAACATTAATCAAATAGGAACAATTTCACTCAAAGTATACCTAGACACAGGAGAACTATTGTTGTGAAAGTGTTGTACAGTCGATTACAAATTT